TTTGTTCTGCTCCGGTTGCTCCTCACAGCTCCGCCTGCTCTCTTCTCCTCAGACTCATCGTCTCCATTCAGGACCGAGCTCCTGAGTCTCAGATCCACCAGGGAACGAGCCGGACCCCCGCTCTGCAGGAGGGGGAGGAGTCATATTTAAAACGTGATTAAATGTTGTAAAGACAGTTTAGCGTCAGACAAAGCGTTCTTAATCTAATTCAACAGTTTAATGTCCTCACATTAAAGAAGCTGGAGCCAGAGAATATTTAAAATATAATTTATAATAAAATAACTTGTTTTAGATGTTTTAGATTTAACTTATGAAAGGATTTCTGTCCGATTCTGCAATGATGAAGAAACTACGGAGTCACAGGAGGGCCATAAACATAAAAATAAAAACATCAGATAATAACGATGTGTATGAAGATGAATACAAACATTAAAGTTTAGAGACTTTAAAAATGATAATAAAATAATATTCAATGTGTTAATATTGTCAAAGGTAAGAATAACATGGGGTATTTCAATTATTTCACTTTTTTTTTGTTTATTTCGCTCTTGAGTAAATGTTTTTTTGAAACATGCATTCTTGTTTTTTTAAAGGAATGAATCCATCAAACTCCTGCACACTTTCTACATTGAACAACATTGTCAATGTTTTTGTGCAGTTCAGACAGTGTGCAGGAGTTTGTTTGAAAGTTTGCATAATAAAAAATGTGAGATCCACAATATGCCCAGGAGGACTTCTGTTTTTATTGCAGCGGTATCAAAACTGCACAAGCTCCAAGCCAAGATGCATCAATACATTTTATTACTTTTCCTGTGATAATGAAGACATTTCTGTTGTTATCTCGGGGTAACAACGCCAGCTTCGGGCGTCCCGTGTTCAGCTCTGACCTGTGGCTCTCTCATTCCTGACTCAATCCACTGAAAGCAGAAAAAGCAACTAAAAATATTTACGTCTTAAAAAAAAAAAAAATAACAACGATGGCTTTTCCGGGAAGATTGCATTTAGAATAAGAGTTATTAAAGATTCAGGACTGACTCACTACTCTGCAAACTCTCCAGAGTATGAAGTCATTATCGGGCTCTGAAACCTCCGCCTTCAGAGACAGATAGTTTTATGGATTGTCTGTGTTTTCACCCCCCAGACACATGCACCTCTACTCGTTTGTGTTTCAGCGGACGTGTGTCAGTAACTCTGCAGGGATTTCAGCCACATTATTCCGATCACAGTTTGCAGCCCGGCCGGCCGTCATTAAAGCTAAGCCATGAAGTCGTCATCTTAAAACCAAATCTTGCTGTCAGATCCTGAGGTTTAGTCGGATCAAAGCTCCGGCCACATGTCATTCCTTCGGCCCGGCCTGCGTCCGCGCCCGACAGGAAAAGTTCTATTTTCCTCCCGCTTTGATGTGGCTCACCAGAAATGAGTCTCAGATATTTCAGTCCTGAAAGTGGCCTGAAAATCTTTGTCCTTATTTTGAGGCTCATTGACTGAAGTCTGTTTGAATCAACGTCTCCTCACAGATGACATACATTAATACGGCACACTAACTCTCTAAGCGGTCTACTTTCCTGACTTTAAGGTCACGCTTTGTACCAACTTCTTCACCTCTCAGGGGTGAAAAATGGGTTTATAACTGGCTGCTTTATCAGGACACAGGTGTTATCAGGCCGGGGTGCACAGGTGAGCTGACCTGGGCTGACTGCACTGTGTCACAACACCAGGTGATTGAGTTGGATAGTGATGGACTGCTGCTGATTATCAGCTCAGATATGAGGCGCTCCCCCTCTCTATGTGGACACAGGTGTTCAAACAAAGTGGCCACCACAGCAGCCATGTTTAGCATTAACAAGAGTGCCATCTGCTGGACAAGAGCAGTACTGACCATTGTTAGAGAGCAGGTTCAGTTTAAACCAGCTGAGAACTTCTTAAGTTTCAAACCAAGCGGTCCGGTTTTGTTCAGTACAGTTTGGTACGTTAAACCCTGACCTTGCGCTGATCTGAGCACTACATAGTAAAAAAAAAAAAAAAAAGATCAATGATTCCTGGGAAGGTCTGCATCTCTGAGGTCGTCCACGGGGTGCTGACCACACTGACGTTAGGCGCAAAAAAACATAAAACCGTCATGAAATTACTCTCCACAACCCTGAGATATCTAAACATGGTGCATTTTGTGTTCGTCATTGATTACTGCTGTCACTTGGAAATGGATTCTTTCAACCAATCAACGAACTGCAGTCTGACTTTTGGGGTGTTTTTTTTTTGTTAAAACTTGTAGTGAACCTTAGGGCTGGGCAATATATCGAGTTTTTAAGATATATCGATATATTTTCAAACAAGATATAGGGTAAGACAATATCGTTAATATTGATATAGTTTATGTTGCATTAAAATAACGGTACAGAGGTGCCAGGTCACCTTTTTCTCATCTCACTGATGATGACTGACTGTCCCGCCTAACCCTGCTCCTCCTCTCTCTCTCTTTTATTGTATGTAAGGAACATTTGTATTTTATAATATTACTTTTTAAATTCACAAACAGGTAGTTTATCTTTCCATGTGTTTTCACTGTTAATAAAAGGCATATCCATATATATATATATATATATATATAGAGAGAGAGAGAGTATTGCCATTCAGCTAAACAATATCGAGATATGAGTTTGGCCCATATCGCCCAGCCCTAGTGAACCTTAAACTGATTTACCTGAGAACAGTAACAAGCAAACAAAGGGATGAGAATGAAAGATGGAAAACAGGTTATACCATTTATTAAAGTTGTTTTTACTGTTTTATTATTTTTCTCTAATAGAGAAATCATTTATTTACTCTAATGAATTACACTAAACTTGATTTGGGGGTTAAGGTGAGTAGTGCCTTGTAGAGCTAAACTGTGTTTTGCTGCCACCATGCGTGCCTTCAGAGGTACTGCACCATCAAAACTTCACCCATAGAAAGTCCCATTTGAATCCACATTAACTGTTTATGCTGCTAAAATGAATCTGTGCTAATTAAATAAATCAAAATACATTTTCAATTAATGTGTATATGAGAAGTCAATCTAAAATGACGGTGAAAGTCGTGTGAAGAGGTTTAATCTGTCGTTTTGAGTATGAAGACTACAAGCCAGATTCCGTTCATAAAAAGGGTAAGTGAGTTATCGTACTTACTAGTTAGGTAGTTTTAACTCGTAAAATGACTAAAAATAATAATTAACAATCGTTAGGATGTATTGTTTAATACGGCTTATACTTAACTTAACACTTAATAAAAATAAAACGCGTTTGTTAGGATTTTATGTTCCTGACGTCACGCCAGAGCTCTTCCGGCTAAGCTAGCAGCTCCAGCTTTCTTTCAGGGAAACGTCTGAACAAAACAAGCTGTAACTGTTAAAAACTACAGGATACGGGAATTTAACACATGCCGAATAGGAGAAGGGTTCAGAAGAGTTATAAAGAATTGATAAGTATAGTTACACAATTTTCACTTTTGAAGGCTTTCACAGATAACCTTAAAGTGGCAGCTTCGCAAAGAGGGTTCTGCAGCACAGAACGTCGCCAACGTTTAGCCGTAACTTACAGGAGGGTTAAAGTCAACAGAGTGACTCACCTTTAGGTCAAATAAATCCATTAGTGTGAGTCTGGAGTCCAGATAGTCTTCATAGACTTTAAACTGGGATGGAAACCAGCGGCTGACAGGCGGCTCTCTCTCTTCTCGCTCTCTGTTGTGAGAGTCTGGCTGCCATGGCAACGGCCTTACCTGAGTTTTGGCGGCATATCGCAGGAAACGGAAGTCGTGCCTCCCAAGTGCAAAAATAATAAAACAATAAAGATCGCGTTTTAAAAAGGGAATTTTAATCCAGAATATGACTAACTGTTACTAAGACGCCCAATAATAATAAAATACAGAGTTTCAGAGGCAGTGAAGCTAACTGATCGAACTTGGCAGTTATCTGCTTGTTAAGTCGCAACTTTTCTAAACTGTGTGTTTCAGGTGTGTACAGTCTATGGTTTCAGGTGTGTACAGTCTATGGTTTCAGGTGTGTACACTCTATGGTTTCAGGTGTGTACAGTCTATGGTTTCAGGTGTGTACACTCTATGGTTTCAGGTGTGTACAGTCTATGGTTTCAGGTGTGTACAGTCTATGGTTTCAGGCTGTGTACAGTCTATTGTTTCAGGTGTGTACAGTCTATGGTTTCAGGTGTGTACAGTCTATGGTTTCAGGTGTGTACAGTCTATGGTTTCAGCTGTGTACAGTCTATTGTTTCAGGTGTGTACAGTCTATGGTTTCAGGTGTGTACAGTCTATTGTTTCAGGTGTGTACAGTCTATGGTTTCAGGTGTGTACAGTCTATGGTTTCAGGTGTGTACACTCTATGGTTTCAGGTGTGTACAGTCTATGGTTTCAGGTGTGTACAGTCTATGGTTTCAGGCTGTGTACAGTCTATGGTTTCAGGTGTGTACAGTCTATGGTTTCAGGTGTGTACAGTCTATTGTTTCAGGTGTGTACAGTCTATGGTTTCAGGTGTGTACAGTCTATGGTTTCAGGTGTGTACAGTCTATTGTTTCAGGTGTGTACAGTCTATGGTTTCAGCTGTGTACAGTCTATTGTTTCAGGTGTGTACAGTCTATGGTTTCAGGTGTGTACAGTCTATTGTTTCAGGTGTGTACAGTCTATGGTTTCAGCTGTGTACAGTCTATTGTTTCAGGTGTGTACAGTCTATGGTTTCAGGTGTGTACAGTCTATTGTTTCAGGTGTGTACAGTCTATGGTTTCAGGCTGTGTACAGTCTATGGTTTCAGGTGTGTACAGTCTATGGTTTCAGGTGTGTACAGTCTATGGTGTACAGTCTATGGTTTCAGGTGTGTACAGTCTATGGTGTACAGTCTATTGTTTCAGGTGTGTACAGTCTATGGTTTCAGGTGTGTACAGTCTATGGTGTACAGTCTATTGTTTCAGGTGTGTACAGTCTATAGTTTCAGGTGTGTACAGTCTATAGTTTCAGGTGTGTACAGTCTATGGTTTCAGGTGTGTACAGTCTATGGTTTCAGGCTGTGTACAGTCTATGGTTTCAGGCTTTACTGTCATGGCACCAAAAAACAAAAAGAAGCTGTAAAACACAAAATTAAATGTTTAGCAGAAATATTTTGACTCGTGGCTGCAGTTATCTTTTATTATCATTTTGTTTAATTTTTTCTAATTTTTGTTTAACTTTCCCTGCCGATGTCTATGGAAAGTAAGTGAGTGTAGAAAATGAATAAAGTTATTATGAATGTGCTCTTATGTAGAACCAGCGCTGTAGCTTCTGACCCATATGAGCGTCTGCAGTCACATTAAGACAACAACAGGAAGTGGAGTTCGAGGACAGGAGGGGTTTGGCGTCGGAGGAGCAGAGATGTACGTTTGCTAACGAGGCATTGACCTAAAAATAAAAAACTGTCACGCAAGCCTGGTCTCACTTCTGAGGTCACATGGTGTTTCTCTTACCTCGAAATAAAGACCCGCTTCATTATTTAATAACAGAATGAATTATACATGTAAATCTTCTTGTTCCTATTCTGTGTCGAACATCGTCGCTCATGACAATAACTCACTCTCTCTTTTTTTTTTACTCTCTTGACGTTTTCACATCTGCACTCCAGATAATATCTAGATAACTTCAGGAGGACTGCTCCGGAGATTCTCCTGACCTGGATGTTCACACATGCACCTTACAGCGGGAGACTATCCCTAAGAAACGGGAGGGGGGGTTGGGGGCGGGGTCTCCTGAGGCAAGACGTTACTTAAAAAAACAACGCTGAAGTAGCGGACAAAGCAACAGAGTCCACTATACGACGCTATAATGAGAATATTTGCATATCATTGCTACGTGTAGTTCATCAGAATGACAATATATAATATAACTTCATGTCCTAACCTGATATCGGGCTCTTCAGTTAGCAGATATGACATCATATTCATCACATTACACATTCATTTAGACTGATATATTTATTTTTTCATAAACATATTGCATTAAAAAAATCTTCTTCATACATGTACAAGTTTTCATAAAAAAAATCTGGTAGAAAAAATATTTCATTTGGATGTTTTTAGGACCAAACAACATGATGAAAGCACAGATATATATCTTTATATGGACTCATATCGTTATAAAAGAACAAACAGCATGGAGATACTTCATCAGACAAAAACAGCGGCTAACACACGTATATAAACGGATTCCTTTACACCCTGATAACCCATTTATTGACTCTAATAGATATTTTGTTTTTAATGTTTGTGGTCTTTCGCTGTAAAGCCTACCAACAAGGTTTGTTCATTAAAGTTGACCTTTAGTGTCACAACGCTGGATGTCCAAACTCAAACGCTAAGTGGCTTGATCTGCTCATCAGGTGAGACTTTCATGAGACAGCTTCAAGCCTCCATGTAGGCAGGAGGAGCCGTTTCACACGCTCTCCCCTGGTAACCCTGCAGCGTTCTGCCCAAGCCCCCAGGAAGTGCGTCAGCTTTTAAAGCCAATTTCACACGGTGGCCAATCCTGGTACTGCAGCGTCACATGATGCCATTCAGCCCCAAAAGGACTTTTTTTACTCTCTATAAGCGTACACTGGGAAAGAGACGTCTAAAAATAGAAGATAATTATTTTTTTGGTACATCAACTTCCTGATACAAACACTTAAACATTATGTCCTAAAAATTGTAAAATGCAATTAAAGTTGAATTCAGAGATATTTTGAAGACACAATGAACGCGGATGAGCGCTAAGGGACGGCGACTCCAAGTGTTCATGCTCCACGGGCCCCGTAACTCTGAAGAACCGGGTACTTTTTTATTTCACATGCGGAAGTCAGACTTGTTTTCATGCACCACATAGCAGCTTCAATAGGAATGAACCGGGCTCTGCCTCCACAGCTGTGTCCACTTCGATAAGAATACGTGTGGCAGCCCTGCAGCGTTCTGCCCCCCTTGAAGGATCCCAGAAAGCTGGCCAATGAGATGCTGAAATGAGGGTTTTTACTGACGTCAGTATCAGACACGAGGAGTTTTTGAGCTGCTTATCATGCAAAGCTGCTCTCCAGGTTTCACAGGCCGACAACATGAACATGAGGAGAAGATGAGATCTTTAAACTGCAGGGTACCTCGACGAGTCTCTTCAGGTTTTAAAATCATTTTCCGGTAACTAAAACACTTGTCTATGGAGCAAGAACTGAAAATATTTGACTCACAATTCTGAGGATTGTTGTAAGTGTAAAAATATGTTTAAGTGGCGTGGTGGCCTTGTGGTTAGTGTGCACGCCTGATGTACAGACGCTAAAGTCCTTGAAAGTGGACAGCATGGGTGTGAAACCGACCTGTGGCTCCTTTCCTGCGTGTCACTCCCCATGCACTCTCCTCGATTTCTGACTCCATCAACAAGTTTCAGCAGGTTTAACTTTAGGCATAAAAAGCCCCAAAATAAACTGTTATCTTTGCACTTTTTTTAGTAAGACGTTATCTTGAGGGGGCGGGGGGGGGGGGGGGGTAGATAATGTACTTTATATTATTACCTCCTCCCTAGAGACTCTTCTAACCCCGTCGCCCCCCCAGCTGTTTGCCATCCGATACACCTAAAGATCCAACCTTCACCCAAACAAGAGGCCGCTCCTCCACGGCATCTTTATCCCCACGCTGACGGCGCTGTGGCTCCTCCACGGGGGAATTCCTGGAGGTCATGACTCTGGATTTTTCTGAGGACAGCCGGTTTCTAAAATGACAGTTTTGATGGACAGTTTTCTTCTTGATCCCTCACAGCTGTCCAGTGGGGGGGGTGGGGGGTGGCTGGGCGAGGGTCTCTGGAAGAACTGGTCCTCGTTTTCACGTCGATTATCACAGATTGGATGTTAGAAGAGGAGACAGTCAGTCGATGTGTTTGTTTGAGCAGGAAAAGTATTTTACAATCCAGGTTGTGCAAAGGATAGAAACATGCCTGTCTCTGTCTGTATCTGTATCTCTCTCTCTCCCTCTGTATCTGTATCTCTCTCTCTCCCTCTCCCTCTCCCTCTCCCTCTCTCTCTCTCCCTCTCCTCTCTCTCTCTCTCTCTCTCCCTCTCTCTCTCTCTCTCTCTCTCCCTCTCTCTACATTCACGTCATATTACTGCATGTCGGTCTTGTAGGTTCCTCAGGATTGTTCTGCGTTCAGACAACATTGTTATGATATCAAGCGTGCACACAAATCCACAACAACGACTAAAAACGCTGTAGTACACATGCCAGGTGGAGGTGTGACTTTGTAATGACACAACACGCTCATGCTCTCATCGTCTTCCTTCTTCAGAGCGGTGAGGTGTAAACTAACAGATGATGAGGTGGGTTGTTACTCAGAATGATCCTAAACTACAAAGACACCTGGAGTGAGACAGAACTCAGGAGTCCGCCATTGTTGTTGTAGTCCACATACTCACTCACGGCTATTGACTGGAAGCGTAATGAGCGTGTGCGAAATGTCTCAGAGGAGCTGCATATTTCCAGTTTACACGACGATGAAGGCGCTGCTGTTTTAAAAGTTTGCATTTTCAGACACCTTAAAAAAACACCAGCGGTCATGTAAACAAACAACCGAAATGCAAGAAAAGAGAGAGTGTTTGGAAATTTTCAATGTTTTGCGTAAGTTAGAGAGTTTGTCTGCTGGACTCTTTTCTCTCCTACTCACATGTCTTACTTACAAACTTACTTTTTAATACTTTAAATCAAAACACAAGGTATCAAAAAGTATTGAGACTTTGACGTTGCACACACATTAAAAACATAAAATAAAACAGAATCAACATGAACACAAAGACACCTGGCAGCCCTTTGAGGTTACTCTTCACGATACCTGGAATGATTTCAAGGTGACAAATGTCCATCACCAGTTACTCAGGGCGTCCGTTAATTCAGTCTCCAACGTCCATGAGCAGCTCTGACGTCTATCCAAACCGGTACTTGGCCAGTATTTCACCTGCGTTCGTCTCGGCGCCGTCCCTGCGGGACGTTAGCCTTGGTCAGAGGTTTGGGCGGGCCGGGGCTTTCCTCCTGTCTTTGCCCCGGTCGGTGATGGTGAAGCCTCGCTGACGGTTGTCGTGCGTGCTGACTCTGGGCAGGAAGTGGGTGGAGACGTGCTGCGATTTGACCCGCGGGCTGGAGCCCATCTTAGCTTTCCCTCTCTTGTTGAGGGCCACGAACCAGTCGCGCCCCGTCCGCTGGTTCCTGTGGAGGAGCGAGGCGTACGTGTTGTAGCTGTTCTCCTGGAAACGCTCCCTGAACTTACAGTCATCAGAGAACCACTCCTACAGGACGAGAAAGAGCAAGTGTTAGCACGTGTAATGTTAGCAAGTGTTAGCCACATGTAATGTTAGCAAGTGTTAGCACATGTAATGTTAGCCTTAGCCTCAGAACCAAACACACAGAAGCAGCGTTCAGTTTCTATGCTCCTTATATCTGGAACAAACTCCAGAAAACTGCAGGTCTGCTGAAACTCTCAGCTTCTTTAAATCCAGGTTGAAGACTCACCTGTTTACAGCCTTTCATTAAACAGCTTTCATAAGATTTGAACTTTTTAACTCTTTTTATATTTTTGAACTTTTTAACTCTTTTTATATTTTTACTTCATCTATTTCAATTCATTTCATTTGAATTATTTTTATTTGAACATATGTTCAGATTTAATCATTTCAGTGATTTTTAAATGTTCTATTTGAATGTTTCTTTTCTTTCCTCTGTCTTGATGCTTTTTGATGTCTCGTGTGAAGCACTTTGAATGACCTTGTTGTTGAAATGTGCGACATAAATAAACTTGCCTTGCCTTTTCTTTATTAGATAATCAGAATAAAAAAACTATTAACAAAGATGACAGGTGACATGTTGAATATTCAAACACAGACGTTCTTCATGCACAGAAAGCTCTCGGCTGAATGATCAGCGATGTGTTTGTTTACATCGTGCAATGCTCTTTCTCCCACGATGCTTCTGTGGTAACCATTTGAAGGTGTTGGAATAGAAAGCATTTTGACTCTGTCTTGTCTAGGTCTCAGACTGGGCGGAGTCTGGAAATCAAGACCGGTCAAAACCACCACTGACAGTGATTAGAAGGAACACCTCTCTTTCTAAAATAACAAATAACTTTAAGTCATATGTAGTTTGATTTTTAACCCCCGGTTACGGCCGCAGCCTCCCTATTTTTACGGTCTAAGTGAGTGACACGCCTCCTACAGGATGAAGATTTTTCAGAGACAATAATGGTCTTGGTCTTGGTCTTGGTCTTGGTCTTGGTCTTGACTCGGTCTCGGAGTACTCTGGTCTCGCGTATGTCTCGTTCTCGTTTAATGTGGTCTTGGCAACAACTCTAGTTATCATTGCTTACATTTAGGATGGACAATGTTGAGGCTAACCTCTATGCCCCCCCCCACCGTGCAGCAGAGCCCCAAGAACCCCCCCCCCCCTATGTGAAGCCGTGCTTTGTAACTACTTTAAATTGTCCCTCATTATAAAGTGTCACCTAAAAAAAGACAGTTGAAGCTCTCTGTAATTAATTATCAGAGCGTCTTTAATCAGTAATTTGCTCCACATGTTTGATGTCTGAGTTCCTGATATCTGATCCGTCCTTGTTGATTCACGGCTCAGCTGTGTGAACATGTGGTGAGCTGAGTTAGCATGCAAACATGAAACCTAACCCCACGTTTCTCTCGCTAACTGCTGCTCACATCAGTGACTTAAAGTCGGGGGAAATACAAAGTTATGGCTCCTCTCACTTTACAGGAACACTTGCTCTAACAAGACTCTCCCTGATGCAGAAACTTAAGTCCTTGTTACTGATCTTAAACAAACACTAGCTTACTTCATACGCGACTTCATACGCACGACCACATCACTCCTGTTTTAGCGTCTTTACACCGACTCCCTTCGTGTTCAAAACTGATTTTAAGATGTTACTGATTACTGTAGAAGCTAAAGAGTGAAGGAGTAGTGAGGCAGGAATACAACCAAAGAAATCAGGACACAACTCTAACCAGACACAACCAATCAGAGACAGGCATTACCTTCCATATGTGATGTCATTTTCAAGTAATTCTTACATTTTACTTTGTATAAAGATAGATTTTTGGCCTTTTTGCTTTTATTTGATCGGACAGTGGACTGCGTCAGAGATCAGGACAGAGAGAGAGAGAGAGTGGATTAAGGACACACAGGTTGGAGTAGATCCCAGAGGACCACAGCCTCCGCACACGGGTCGAGACCCAACCACTAGGCCATCAGCGCCCCATGAATACACATTATATTCCCCAATCTACATCTCTGACACTTTACAAACCGAGGGGGTTTCTGTGAGGACTCTAAAACTTAGCAGCTAATCTGAGTCAGTGGTCTCTTTTAAAAGCCTTATACCTGCATTCTCCCTAATGGCCAGCAGGGGGCATCATCAGTTGATTTGTTCCCTCAGTAAACATTTCCATCGTGGGTTTATAGCTCAATTTCTAGTTTCAAGTCTTTTTTCAACACATTGTGATGTTCATTTAGAGTCACAGAGACCAGAAAGAGGGAGGAGTTAGAGGGCGGGGCTACCCGTGAGTGACAATATGCTACCATGGCAACATGACATGATGTCGAGGAGAGTTAAAAGCGCCTACCTTCTCTGGTCCAAACAAATCCAGAGCATTCAGGAGCAGAATCTAAAGTTAGAAGGAGGACATACTGGCTGCTGCATTGTTGTCAGAGAAGCCAGCACTTCAACATGTTTCCTTAATGATCAGAGAGTAAGATACCTTTATCATCTCACTCTCTACACAGCTCACTGATTGGACCTTCTAACTGTGCCCACCTCTGAATATCACATTATTAGTGTTGTTTAAATAGTTAAATATTCATGTGAGGTCAACAAAAACACACATTTCATGGATGTAGCTGCAGATCTTCGTTTCTGTTTCAGCCTATAAATATCGTTGGTGGGAACCTCGGTGTGTGATTCCTGCTCTTCAGAACGGCTTCCTCGTATAACCTCCTGAAATTAAACAAACTGTTCTGCTTTGCTGCAGAGTGAAGCATAGCAGAAAATGATGCCATTAAAGCGTTCGGTAAACATGCCAGTCACAGGAGAGGCACAAACGCTTTAAGTTATTCAAAGTGACCGACTGTTCCTCTGGGCTGTTGTTTTAAAAACAATCAGACCGCGGAGTCTCCGGATCGCTGTGATTTAACACAGATCCACGTCTGAGCAACAAACCGGCTCTGGTCACACACGCACGCACACACACACACTCTGCTCTGTTTCAGAGGATTTATTGGCTGCAGTCAGATTCCAGACTTCTTATTGTTAAAATCATAACGCTTGCACAGCTGTTTAAGCTGCATTGGTCACACTCGTTTAAAGGGACCTTTCCCATGATCCTCGGGGTGAGCTGCGTCGAATGACTTATTTTCCCTTCTGACCAGATACGTCGACGTGTCCTTCATATTCTGACTTCTACTGGACACGAGTTTCATTCAAATCTGAAACTTTCTGAAAGATCACTTCAAAGCTTTTTTCTCAAATTAAAAAAATAAAAGAGTTTAACTTGTTTTGAAGTCCAACACCCGACTTTAACACAAGACTCATCTTAACTGGCCCCTCCTCATCTCCCCCAGAAGCCCCGCCCCCTGCAGGACTTAGTCTGTACGTTTACTGCTTTGTACCTACACTGCAAGCTGACACACGCTAGCACAAGCTAACCGCCGGTGTTCATCACCTTCCTGTCCAACAGGAAGTAGACCAACTCCACGTCCAAAGGTTAAAGACAACACAAGGCTCACCCTCGTTTTAGAACGATCTTTATCCACTTGGTGTTTCTCCTCACTCTCATTATATTTTCTCTTCTTTGCTGCTCCGTCCACGTCCGTCATATTCACCGGTTTGAATCTCGTCCAATCACTGAATTGTATCCACTCCTAAACTCACCTGCTGCGCTCTCATTGGCTGGAGGAAACACACCAGCTCCGCCCAGAAACCTTCCTTATGCTCATGCTTCCTTATATATGTAGCGGTCTTTGACATAACATCCGGTGTTTCCACGACAACGATAAACATGCTGTGTCTGTCATGGCGGGGGCCACAACAAGACACGTCCCGTTCTAACTCTAAACTGAAGTTTTTATCGGTCTTTAGGGAGAATCTGTCAAACTTTGTTTCTGTTAAGTATTTGAATCTGTTGAGACCAACAAAAAATAAAACTCAAACTTGAAATAAAAAATGAGACAATATCTGCAGCTTCATGTTTCTATTTGAATCACTGATTCTCTCTCTCTCTCTCTCTCTCTCTCTCTCTCTCTCTCTCTCTCTCTCTCTCTCTCTCTCCCTCTCTCTCTCTCTCTCTGTCTCTCTCTGTCTCTATCCTTCTCCCTCTCTCTCTCTTTTTCTCTCCTTCTCTCTTTTTCTCTCCTCTCTCTCTTTTTCTCTCACTCTCTCTACTTCTCCCTCTCTCTCTCTTTTTCTCTCCTCTCTCTCTCTCTTTTTCTCTCACTCTCTCTCCTTCTCCCTCTCTCTCTCTTTTTCTCTCCTCTCTCTCTCTCTTTTTCTCTCACTCTCTCTCCTTCTCCCTCTCTCTCTCTTTTTCTCTCCTCTCTCTCTCTCTTTTTCTCTCCTTCTCTCTCTCTCTCCCTCCCTCGCTCGAGCCTCTCTCTCTCTCTCTCTCTTTCTCTCTCTCTCTCTCTCTCCTTCTCTCTCTCTCTCTCTCTCTCTCTCTCTCTCCTCTCTCTCTTTTTCTCTCTCTCTCTTTTTCTCTCTCTCTCTCCTTCTCTCTCTCTCTCTTTTTCTCTCCTTCTCTCTCTCTTTTTCTCTCCTCTCTCTCTTTCTCTCCTTCTCTCTCTCTCTTTTTCTCTCCTCTCTCTCTATCTCTCCTTCTCTCTCTCTTTTTCCCTCACTCTCTCTCTCTCTCCTTCTCTCTCTCTCTCTCTCTCTCCCTCTTTTTCTCTCTCTCACCCTCTCTCTCTCTCCCTCTCCCTCTCTCCCTCTCCCTCGCTCGCTCTGGCACACTCAGGTGACCTTTGACCTCTCAGTTCGTTCTGTTTGTGATGTCTTGCTGAGCGGGTCGAGAGGAGCGGCGAGCATCTGTCTCCTCGTCTGTTATTTAGCCGATAAATCTCACTGTGAAAACACCGAAATATTAAAGATGACAGATGACGAAACAGGATAAGGTTCAGAGTGTCACCCGACACCCCGACGAGGGGCCCCGAGCCCGTCTGCAGCCCCCCCCCGACATTTTACATCCACCCCAATCATGGAGGCGCTCAAACAGCAGAGTGCAGCTGCAGCCACAGATTGAGTTTTAGTTGTTCAAATATTTCTCCCCGGCAGAGCGGCTCCGGAGGCAAAAATAAGCTCCGACTGCACCGACTCGAGCCAAAGAACCAAAAACTCTGAGTGCAAGAAGAGCTGCAAAGAAGGAACGGATCAAAACACCAAACATGGAGTGAAACAACTTCTTTCAAAATCTATTTTATAAAATCACAACTTACTGAAAACCTCTTGTCAGTCAAAAAAAGGTTTGTAGTGCCACCTGATGCACGTTTGTTTTTATGATAAATATATCTTCACTGAGGGTCCAATCACAAACTTCATACAGGAAGTACACAGTGCCAGGGAGTATATTTGATGTTAACCCAGCAGACCCACACAGGAGTTGAGGGAGCTGACCATCCCTCAACTCCTTATTTCAGAAACAATATCACAGTCGGGGAGACAACATTCTTCAAATTCCCCTCGTTTGTATTTACAAGATCAAAAATGACTCTGTGTTCGGTGCACCGTTTAATCGTCCGAGTGAGACCTCCCAGTGTCATCCATCCCAGGCGTGAGGAGAGAGGGGGGGATCAGGTACACAAAAACAAAGATGGACTTTTAGGACCAGGACGGACGGAGCCTTTTCCAGCTGCACGCTTCCATGCTGAGCTAGGCCATTTGTTTCATTTCCCATTAGGGGTGTGTCTTTGTGCAGGGGAGGGGCGTCACAATACTGAA